TGAATAACTGTGCTTGTTCTTGTTTTAAATCCTGGGATTGCTGTAGTACTTCTATAGCTGAAAATTAATCCAGAGTAAATCTTATACTTGAAAAAGTAGAGTCAAAGTTAACAGATTTAGCCAGAACTGTTAAGCTAACAGCTCCTTTTGAACTTGTCCCTAAGGAAAAAAGCTGTAATATAGGTGACTTCTTCAGAAGATGCTTTGAAGGTTGCTAGCCTTGAAGCTTGCAAAACCCTTTGTTGCTCACCATTCAGCAAAAGGCTGAGTTTGAACAAGTCTTTAGCTGAAGCAACTAGATTAAAATATAAACCTTAATATTCTTGAATGAAAAAAGATGTGTCTAGCTGTGCTGGTAGTATTTTTAGGCATTGCTTCTCAAAGAACTCTACCCAACAACTAAGTTGAGTAATAAGTTTGGGTTTTTTAAAGAAAAATTCCATGTGGTACTTGGGACTACAAACTGCTTTAAGCATCTGACTTGTGTGTAGTATACATATAATAGCTGTTACAATGAACTTATACGAGATAGAGGAGGCAATGTTTTATGCTTTAGGTGACTAGACCCAAATGCCAAACTTCTATGAATTAAGCTGATACAGTAGTCCATTTACACTGAATACAGTTCATGCTTCAATATAAGTATATTGACTGTCCTCTCTTTCAGGCCAGGAACGCTTTGGAAATATGACCAGAGTATACTACAAAGAGGCAGTTGGTGCTTTTGTGGTCTTTGATGTCACAAGAGGCTCCACTTTTGAAGCTGTTTCAAAATGGAAGCACGATTTGGACAGTAAAGTACTACTTCCCAATGGCAGCCCCATCCCTGCTGTTCTCCTTGCAAACAAGTGTGACCAGAAGAAAGATGGAAGCCAAAATCCCTCTCAAATGGACCAGTTCTGCAGAGAAGGTGGCTTTGTTGGATGGTTTGAAACATCTGCCAAGGTGAGCTTAATAGAAAAATTATTTTTAGTCTCTTGAATATTGGCATAGGAAGGGTGAATATAATCATGTAGGGAGTAAAGTTATCAAGTATAGGAAGTGGCAGTCAAATTCAGCAAAATGTTGATCAAGCTCCCCAGATGACACAGGTAATCTTTAGGTGCAGGTTTTTAAATTGCATTTTCTGTTGTCACTGTTATGTTGGAAACTGCAAGATTTGACATGAACAGGCTATTTGCTTACTCATTACTACCTACCCCCAGTGTTGCTAAAGCACTTTTCTATTTTATCAGGCAATATTGCGACTGAACTGGAGAAATTACTATGCAGAACAATATAAATTAAGAAAGACAGCAGCTTTATTTAGTTAGCTTTTGTATTGTACAGTTTTAATCTACAGACTTTTTGTCAATGCACAGTTTAAACTGGAGCAGCTTAGTTGGAAGTGAAACTCATATTTCCTTAAAGCTCAACTGATTCTTAGGATGAAGGACACCTCTAGATGAGGAAAGTGTGGCTGGCAGACCAGATTATTGGTTTGGCTGATAAATCCTTTTTAAACTAAGATAAGCCTCAAGGTCCCTCTTTTCCCTTGGCTTGCCTACTTCCTTTAACTGCTGCTGTGGAAGTGTTACACAATGATGTTTAGACAACTCTTAAAAAGCAGAATCTCTAAGTAATAAGTTGCTCTTTGATTCCTTTAAGAGGAGGATACATAGTTAAAGCAATTATTTAATTTAGCTAACAATTTGTTTGCATTTGAAAATATATTTCCAAACACACATCTGTTACTAAAAACTGTTTTTAAGGCTCTTTATACTCAAAAAGAACACCAAGATTCTGCTCTGGTAAAAGTCCTCCCTGAAGCTTTACCTGCCTGTAATACTGCTATGTATAAACTGCATTATGGCTTAAAAATAAATGCAAATAACATTGGGAAAAAATCTAATGTGAAATTCTAGTGACAACTTGCATTTTAGGTAGTATTTAAAACAGGACAATATAAAACAAGGTTCTTGGTGCAGAGAAAAATCAAGACAGTAAATTCTATCTTGGGTATTAATTGACTTGTTTACAACTCTGAATAGTTGTAGCTGAAATAGAAAAATTTAGGATGACTGTCCTTGTTTTCTAAGCATACCAAAACAGTTTACAGTTTTAAGTCCTGCCCATTTGGATATCCTGTTAATCTGTTTTTGCCTTTCTGTTGGAGCTGATAATTGGATCTTAAGTCTAGTCATCAGTATTATACTGGGCTGATATTTCTTTTTGGAACCAAAGATGAGCAATTCTGAACATGGCAGCCCTGTGCTACTAGGTGGCTCAACCAGGTCAAACCTGTGGCCAGAGACTTGTTGGCACTAGCCAGCTTGGACCCTTAGAAAGTGGGATATTCTGGCCAAGTGCATCTCTAAGTATCCTGCACACGTACCTTTCTTAGGGTGTATGGAAAGAGACTTTTCAAAGTATGCACAAGAACATGTAGAGTGGCTAGATGAGGCACTTGGAAATAGTTGTGGTTTTGAGGCTCATGGAAAAGATCCTCTTGTATAAATAAGTGTATCCAAATTCCATCAGAAACAGAAAAAGGCTCCAAAAGGTAGGACACTACTACAGATCATGTAATTGCCTAGGATCTTTCTTGATGCAGAAATGCACTTAGGCATGAGAGTCTTTCAAATGCAGGTGACACTGATTCCCCTGACTGCCTAGTAGATTAGAATCAGAATTCAACTTGTAATATGGATGAATCATTTTGTCTCTGACCTTTCTGCTAACTTCAGAAAAAAGTGTGAGCAATGACTTCTTGCACCTAAACTGTTTGTGTTCTGCTGATGAGACTGAAGAATTAATTTCTTTTTGGACAGCTTTTTAATAGGGAAATGTGACTGTTAATAGGAATGTGTGACTATTTCGAAAAGATCACTGACTTCCTTGCTTTCAACATTTTAGGACAACATCAATATCGACGAAGCTGCTCGATTCTTGGTGGAAAACATCCTTGCCAATTACAAAACCTTTCCTAATGATGAGAATGATGTGGGGAAACCAAAACTGGACCTAGACCCATTGAAAGCAGAGAGTAAATCACAATGCTGCTAATGCTACTACCATTCAGTAAATGTGACGGGATGAGCAGCAGGACTTTGTCTTAAATCAAAATGCTGCTATGGTGCTGCGTTGTGACAATCCATATGGGGTGTCTGGTACTATCTGAATTGGTGACTTGTTTGGGTGTTTACATACTCTTGTTTAGCATGAAACTGAGTATCTTGTGAGTTATCATTCCACTTGCCTGAGTGTCTGCATCTAAGTCTGATTAGTGTCTTCTTACTTGAGAACATAAGGTAGTGTTTACACTCCTAAAAGGAACAAAGACAACTTTCAGTGTCTAGTTTGCTTCTAGGACATATGCTACATTCCAAATAGGACTCACTTTTAGCTGAATAGACTCTTGCACCTTTAAAGTAAACTTTTACTTTGTCACCATTTATGTCCCACTTTATCATTCTCACTGGCACAATTATCCCTATTTATTATTCCCACCATGAGGATCTGTCTCATTGCTAGTTCTCCGGGATCAAGACATCCCAGAAATCTTGAAGGGGCCAATTACAGATGGGAGGTATGTTTCCTAGTGTGATCACTAAGAATGAGTGGAGTAGATGGCTTTTACCACTGAGTGAAAACAAGATGGTTAAATTATTGTGTTTAACAAGGGAAAGACATGGTTATAGAGATACTAATAAAAATACATCTCCAGCATTTTAAGGCTGAATATTTTCAGCTAATACTTTACCTATGAAACACATTAATGAATATGGCTGTACTGCTGGCACATAGTTATGGTAACCTCACCCCTATACACATCCAGAAATAAACATTGAGTAACTTTTTCATGCACTAACACTGAAAACTTTACCAAGAGTATAAAAAGTAAATCTCTTACTGTCCTTGATGATGAACTTGCTTCTTTTTTCTTCTATCTAGAGATGGTTCTGAATACCATGAGCAAGGAGAGGTCTTGAGGGAAATAGCTTAATTTGTTCATACTAGTCTGTCAGCCTTTCTACCCCAAGCTCTGTCTTTGTTAGTTTTAGAACCCTTTTGACTGCTTTGAACTAATGAACTGGCTTACCAGTTTGTAACTGTATACTGAGATGCTTACGCTTCTTTGTTATAACACTCATGTATTTTTGGCAGCAAATGAAGTTCAAAAGGATTAGAGATGTCATGGTTTTTGAAAATGTTCTGAAACTCTGGCTCTGCTTGGCTCAAAGGCTTTGAAGCTCCTCTTTGTTTTAAGGTTTCTTCTGTCCTGGTACCTCATTGCTACTGACTTCAGAAGTCTTACCTTGCTGGGTTTGATGGTGCTGATGTTTAGGTAAGCATCAGAATTAGATATATGCAGGGTTTGATAATATGCCGGATTTGATATACTTTAATCTGTATTGAGATTTCTTAGGCTTTTTTCTAAAGAGTAACATACTTTTTAAGAATTAAATAAATATATTTGGGCATCTTTTGTGTGTTGGTGTATGCTTTTGAGAACATGAATCCTCACATATGTTCCACCCTATACTCAAATGCTTTCATTGACATTTGAAAACAACTTTTATCTTCTAGTATGTGCTGTGTTAAAGAATTATTTAAAATTACCACAGTAAGGCTTGGCATAAACTAAAACTGGGTTTACTAAGCTTTGGATTTGAAGATAATTCAGATGAGAGGGATCTTAGACATTGGCTTAGAAGACAATCTTTCTCCAAGCAAGTGCTTAGATGTCCATGTGTTCTGGTTTTAACCTCAAACTATGGAGACTGTGTGACTCTGGGAAAGTTGTTTCAATGCATGGCTTTCCTCAGGAGTTGAAACTATCACTATCTTCCTATTCAATCACTTGAACAACTCCCTTTTGACTGTAAACTTAATTTTGATATTTAATCTCCACTGTACTGTCTCTTTTTCAACTTTAATTAAAGCTACACAAATGTAATTGCCTACTTTACCTCTATGGGCAGTTTCCCCAGCTGTAGTGGATTGTGGATTTTTTTTTTCTTTAGTGTTTAGATTCAACAGCAAAATGGAGACCAAACTCAAGCTTTGTGACTCTGCCTGAATGCATGGATCTCATCTGGGTCCTGTCAGTAATAACCATGTGCAGGTTGTTTTCAAGAATGTCAAAACTTTTTGCTTGAAGAGTTACTGCTGCTGTATTTAAGCACTTTCCTTGTTTTGTACATCACTTTTTCTAAACTTCTGGATGAATGTAGAAAGGACATGACTCTAAAACTGGTGGAATGTACTGGTTTTGATACAGGTTGTCACTACTGAGGCCAGTAGTATAAAATTACCTGCAGGATGGAGAATTTTTTTTCTCATATCTTCTGTCACTTGTCTGAGGAAAAGAACTTGAGCTTTAATAGAATGCTAGTTTTGCTTTGTGCTACAAACTGTGTTCTCTATACCCCTCTGTGGAGAAGGAGCATTGTGATATTTAAGACTGAGCAGGTGGATTGGGAAAGCTGATCCAGTCAGAACAAGAAAACTGTAAGGAAAGACTAGCCTGAGGAAGGAAATGGTAGCATCTCCCTGGCAGAGGGAAATGGGAAAAAGCAGTTCATGGAGAAGTGTGTAGGTTAGTTAAACTAGTCATGAAGCCCTATCCTAATTAACCCAAAAACTTTGATTTGGAAAAATGTTTGGAAATAGACACAAACAGTGATTTTTATTTTTTTTCAGTATAGGATTTTCTGATGTATCTTAACAGCAGTGCTAGAAAAATGTGAACTATTCCAAGCTCCAGAGGTTTGTTTAAACTTTGTGTCAGGCCTGTTGAGTTGTATGAGCTCCTTAGATTGAACAAATCTTTGTTCCTCTATAATAATTAATCTGTGGGGAATAGTTTAAGTCTTTCCTAGATACCCAGTACTTGATGTCACCATGGAACAGGTGGATGTCCAAAGGAGTCTGTGATCCTGTGGAAAGTCCTCTTGCCTTCATGCTGGAGCAGGCTCCTGGCAGAACCTGTGGCCCCATGGAAGGGCCCATGCTGGAGCAGGTTATCTGACAGGTGTTGGGACCCTGAGGGGAATCCATGCTGAAGCTGTCTGCTGAAGGACTGCACCCCATGGAAGGAGCCTACACTGGAGCAGTTCATGGAGCCTATGGGAAGAACTCACATTGGAGAAGTTTCTGGAGGATTGTCTCCCATGGGATGGGCCCCATGCTGGAGCTGATGAAATGTAAGGAGTCTTCCCCTGAGAAGGAAGGAGCAGCAGAGACAACATGTGCTGAACTGGCTGCAAACCCCCATTTCCTATCCCTGTGCACCACTGGGTGGAGGAGGTAGAGAAAATTTTGAGCAAAGTTAAGCTCCAGAAGAAGGGAGAGGTTGGATAAGGCGTCTTTAAGATTTAGTTTTTATTTCTCATCATCCTCCTCCAATTTGAGTGGTAGTAAACTAAACTAATTTATCTCAGTCAAGTCTGTTTACCCATGAGAACAACTCGTGAGTGATTGCTGCCTGTTCTTACCTCAACCCATGAGCCTTTGGTTATATTTCCTCTCCTCCATTCAGCTGAGAGGGGACTGATACAATGGCCTTGGTTAGCACCTGCTGTCAGGCCACCACAGAGTGTAGTAGTTTGCTTGACACTTAAAGAATTGCTGTTTTCAATGGCACGTTGCCACAAGATACCCAAAATCACTGCCTTCTTGTTTTTAATAGTTTAAGGAACAAGAACTTTTGTCAGATTGCTCACCAGGATGCCATTTCATTTCATTGGGTTATTATTTTAAGCACAATTAGATGTGATGACTTAAAAATGGTTATGGTGGCATTTGGCATATGGATTATGGCATAAGTGTGACAATTTATGTAATTTTTATGAGTTTCAGAAGTTAGAGAATGTAAACTCTTTTCATTTAGAGAAGAAAATATATATTTTTATTTGGTTAAAACAAGTTAGAGGACATCTTACATGAGTTTATGGTCTTGCTTCTAACTTTTCATGAAGAATGTTAATCACATTTCTATTAAAACATTTATCCACCAGTGTTTCATTTTTCGGATAGTACAGCTTTTTTGCTTTTAGCCTGCATATGCAACTGCAGCTGCACTTAAAACATACTGAAGTTAATCACAGTTAAAAAGAATTTTCTATGATCTGCTGTATGCTGTTACTTAGAATAAGAAGACTTGACTTTTTAAGCCTCCTGCAAAAAGATTATATTCTTCATTGTAAAAAAGAAATATAAAAAGCAAAATACTAAAGTAAAACAGTGTTCTAAGATATTTAGTAGGTTCTGTAGTTTGCAATGCATTAAGACTGTATAGGCTCAATTTGAAGAGCAAATACCCTTCTGTCTCTCAGGCTACTGTCACAATCTCATTGTAGCTTTTAGCCAAATATCTAGAATTTTTTAAAGAGGTAATACTACTTCCTCTGTCCATATCCCAATTTTGTAACAGTTCCAGTAGTTAGAGAATCACAGTTGTCTTATTTAACTCCAGATTTCAGATAGGGTTTTCACACTGTACCAAACACAGAAAACCTTTCCTTTTGATATAGAAAAATATTTCTGTATCATCAAATGTAAGTTTACAAAAGAAAGGCAATGACTCTGCATGGTTCTCTGAGCTACTTTGATTTTTCCTCTGCCTCCTGCTCTTGGGGCATACACTGTTTTATCCCTGTATTTGAGTGGAGAGATAATCAAAGTTGTGGTGGTCCTCAGTTCACACTTTTACCTAAATAAATGGCCTGGGAAGTCCTATGGGACTTGATGGTACTGCTGTATATAAATTGGACTTGACCAGCTGCTTGATATTGACCAGAATGTTTTGCATCTGTGTTTTTCTAAAATGAGATTATAGCATGAGAATGTGATAAAACGGTGCTCTAGCAAATAATGAACTTGAAAATAAGAAAGGTAAGTGGAAAAAGTAATACAGGAGTCTTATGTACCCCACGTTCTGGCACAATGCCAAATTAATGAGAAGCTGGAATGTTGGAAAAGCCGTGTCCCTAACAAAATCAGATGAGTACCATAAGATATTTTTGAAATGGCAGTGAAGTACTGTGCTTAGGAAAAGACTGTTTTCTATTATGTAACTGGCTGTGATTTTTTTTTTTTCCCCACCTTGTCTTATTCCATCAGTTTACCCAAGAAAACTCTCAAAATCCACTTTACTCCCTAGCCTCACATTAAGAGTTAACAGAATAGAGCTGCCTCTGCACAGTTTCAGTCCATCTCTTTGAAGATGGTTTTGCTCAAATTCAGTTCCCTGGCCTATGTCACCTCAGTGACTGACTATTCCCGACTCAGTGCACAGACTGCTCCTCCCAGGCTTTATCACATACTGCAGTCTTTTCATTTTCTCAGGCATTACCATTCACCACTGACAATTTTTTATCTTTTTTTGATCACCCTTCATTCTTCCTGATCCTTCACTGCCTGCTCTTAATGAAATGCTAGTGCAATGCTCTGTTCACAATTTCCTACTGACCTGTACCTTCCTTACATCTCTTCCACCTACCCTTTCACATAGCAGAGAGATAAAAGAGAGTGTTGAAAGTTAAGGGCAATGGGGTTTTTTATCTGTTAAAAGCATTCATTTCAGAACCTAGATTTTCCTATCATTTAATAAAAGGACATGGGAGAAAAGTCTCAAAAATACACTACCAAAATCCATTCTGGCTGTTGCAGCCTCTCTTCCAGCAGAAGCCTATAGCTGATTTTGACCTTAAACCTTTCTTTCAATGAAAACTTCTCAGAACCACAGAGTGGGTAAAGTTGGAAGTGGCCTTGAAAGATTGTGTAGTCCTACGTCTCTGCTCAGACCTTGAGCAGGTTGCTCATGGTCATGCCCAATTTGATAAAAACTCTGCAGTCTTGTTGGAAAACCTGTTCCGGTGTTTGACTACCTTCGCTGTAATTAAAAATCAAGTTAAATTTTATTTTAAAGAGGAATTTCTTGTATTTAAATTCCTACATTGATTCTAATCTTGTCACTTGGCATCGCTGAGAAGAATGTCATTAGCCTACTCATCAGCTATTTCTAGGTATTCTGCTTTGCCTCCCTACCACACTCCCAGGTCTTCTCTTAAGGCGAAAACTTTCACTGTCTTGTTCTGGAGCCCTTGTGCCCTCTGTAAAATCAGAGGAGAACTAAGTCTGAGCTCCCTGAAGACTTTTGGTAGTGTTGCTGTTCATAGTTACTCTTTTTCTGCTCTCTTCAACTATTATGTGTTGCTATGAAAAAAATGTAAGATCTTCAAGATTAAGAGGCTGCTTTCCTGCAAGTGACTTGCATTTGCTGTAGCTGTTGATGTGATGCATTCAGGGAAAAACAAGCTGGTGTTTTGAGTGGTATCTTAGAAGAATGATGACCAGAAGGTCATCCAACCATTGCTAATGAGTATGTGCTACCTTAGTATTTGTTTACTGACATCTCAATGGGTTCCTAACACTTGTTTTATTGTCTTGTGCATTTATTCCACATTTTCTGTCGGGCTGCCTCTACCCTAACAATTTCTTTCCTTCAGGGAGTGTCTGTCAGATGTACTTCATGGCTTGAGACATTAGGGTGAAACAGCTGATGTGACTTTGCAGACTCTTTGTCAGTTAGAAAACTAGCTTGTTTGAAATTCAGATTAATTTCTCTTTCCAAACAAGCTGTCCTTGTCATTGCTGTTAGGTTATGGAATTCTAAATGAACTTCTTGCATAAATAAAAAGATGTAGCTTGATGGATGTTAAACTTGAGAACTTATTTTTCCTTCACAAAGCACCTAGATACCTATGCTTTTAATGCCATCATTCTTAGCAAACAAACTTACTGTAGGATTTTATGGTAAAAGGTCAGGTACATTCTGAACTTCCTATGTAGTAACTATCATTTAACAGAACAAAGAATTAAAGGTTCTGTACTTAAATATGCTTTTCTAATTTCTGTTCTACCACCCAAAAATGTTTACAGACCCAGGCACTCCAGTTTCAGTTAGTTTCAGTTACATTTATGTAAGAGACAACATAAAACTATTATGAAAGCTTTATTTGCTGGGATGCTGCAAACCTTGTTGGTCATCTGCAGTGGGATCAAGAAGTTTTCCTATTGTGAAAGTTTTCATAAGTGCCTCTTACATTTATATGTATGCTTCATAGATTCTCTTCCATAGCATTTTTGCTGTCCACTAAGTATAGGAAAGGTGATTCAGTGGAATACAATGGTGTTTTTATCTGCATTCTGGGTTACAAACTGAAATCTGTACCCCATCTACAAGTTGGCATCGGCATCCAGCAAGGTGTGGAGGTGACCAGCCCTGTGCTGAAGAGGTGTAGACAGATGTTTGAACTCACCTCAGTCTCTGCTATTTTTTACCTGTTTGCCCAAATCAATATTTGATAGCATAATTGTATGAAGAGAAGACCAGCTGTTCAGTTTGAAAAGAAATAAATAAAATTGAAATGTTTACTTGGCTCTCAAGTGAAAAGTGTCCCAAAGTACCTTATTTAAAATGGATGCCGTTGGGCATAAAGCTGAAGGAAATGCCAAGCTGTGGAAGAATTCCGCACTATATGGCTGTATATCTGGCTGCCTGTCACCTTAATATAAATCAAGATCTGGCATTTGTCTAAAACAAGCCTCTAGATGTAGCAACATCTGTTTATTTTTCCTCCTATATTTAATCTACTCATGCCCTCTGCAATTTGACAAATAGATTTTCATTGATTTTTATATTTGAAAGAGACTTAGCTAGAATAAAATAAGTATATTCTGTTTTATCAAAGATTTTTCATCATTCACTACAGATTGGGAAACAGCAAATATGGTGTTAGAAGTAGGAGCTGTTAGCAATAATGCAGTCTCTGGAATGTATCTGAAAAAGTCTGTTCATAAACTAAGCGGAAGTCAACTATCTGCTGAATTCAAAACCAGCAGATTAATGCTAATTTTATCTGACCTTGGTGGAACGGCATTAACCTTGGTAATCATGGGCTTCATAGCAGAAATTAATTAATTGCCTCAATCTTAAATTAAATAGAAAATAAAGCCTTGCATAGTCTAGCTCTAGTATTTCTCTACGTTGCCCGGGCAGAGCTGACTCTTATTCAAGTTGCCATCAACAAAGGCCCCAGGTCCCTTCCTGCAGTGCTGCTGTCCAGCCTGTTTCCCAGTCTGTCCGTACATCCAGGGTTGCTCCGTCCAGGGGCAGAATGCAGCACTGGTCTTGGGCAAACTTCACACAGGTGCTGATTGCCTAGTCCCCTCACTTGCCCAGGTCGCTCTGCAGGGCCTCTCTGTCTTCGACGGAGTCAACAGCTGCTCTGATTATCGCCGGCAAGGGCTCCATCGACGTTCTTTGGCCAGATTCCTGAAGCTGCCGCAGGAAGCGGTATCTGGTACGCTCCCTTGCCCGCGAAGGCATTCCACGCCGTTCCTTTGGCTGCCGGAGCACCAAGCGGGCGGCGGGGCCGGGGCGGGCACAGCGCCTTCCGCGGCCCCGGGCAGCGGCGCGGCCCGCGGGGTCGCCCGGCAACGCGGTGGACGCGGTGCGACCGGCCCGCGGCCATGGCCTTCAAGGCGGGCAAGAAGAAGGAGGTGTCCAGCAGCTCATGCGTCTCCCCCAAAACGTGAGAGCCTGGGAGAGAGGGAGGGTGGGCGCGGCAGGATGGCAGCCCCCGCCGGCCGGCCCGACACCGCAGTGCCCAGCCTGGGCTCCCGGCTGGAGCTCCCCCGAGTTTCCCTGCCTCGGCCCGGGCGGCCGTCCGTGTCGGCGGGCACCTGTGCGGGGCCGCCCTGGCACCGCCGTGGCACCGGCCGGACACGGGCGCTGTGCGGGCAAACAGCTCGTACTAAGAAAGTTCATTTGCTCGTGTGGGTGCTTTAAGCTGGTTTCTGAAGCCGACGTGGGGGTTGGTTGTTCCCGGGGTTTTGGTTGTTTGTTCAAACTGGGGGCCCGGCTCGTGTGGGAGTTGTACTCCCTCCCTGCTGAGGTCCTTGGAGCACCCCTGGTCTGGCACAGTGCGCTCAGGCTTTGCGCACAGCAGGGGCAACAAAGCCTTCAGCTGTTGCTCGGGGGCTATCAGAAGTTAAGAGCTCAGTGAAATTATTTTAAAAGAACTTCGAAGCTGTGAACCAAGACAATAATTTTGGGAATGGGGGCGCTCTATTTTCATCAAGTAGAGGAACCAAATTAACTGTATTTTTAGGGACGAAGTGATTAATGAGTGTTATAGCACATCAGTTTCACTTACAGAAGGGAAAGACGATTCTGGAAAGTTTGCTTTACGTTATAAAGAATCTGAGGAAAGCAAGTATGTTAAAAAAAATTCTTCCTATTATTTTCTTAAAGATTTCTGTGTAAATAGCATCTCTTGAGTTGTTTTTAAATGATTTGCTGTTTACTGGGTCTTTAGTGTGACTTTGTATATTTCTGTGTAAATGTCTATTTCTTCCCAGAGAGACAAATAAATAGAGAACATTGACATTCACTGTCACTGTTTTGACTTGTGAGTTCTGTTTCTATGGTGTTAGCAGCTTTCTCATCCTAATGTAAGCCCGAATGCATGGCACTGTCAGTTCAAATGAAAAAGGTATATCGTGTATGTGCTTATGGCCATTGTTTCTTTTTTTTCTGCCTTAAAAGAAAGTTTCAGTTGTATCACTTATTTCTCTCCTGAAATCAATCTCAAATGCCCCTTGGTGCTTATTTCATATTTAGTTACACAGCCTTACTACACAGTAGTTTTCTCTTTCATATTTTCATGCTTCTGTTTTATATTTCACACCATTTCGCTAACTTTTCTGTTGTTGGCTGCCAGTATCTAGTTCCTTCTCCCCACTGCACCCTTTCCTTAGTAACTGTTGTTGTTTTGGCCATAGCCGTGCTGTCCTTCATATTTATTGCTTCAAACAGTTTATAAAAATTTTTCTGATTAAATTTAAGCTATCAGGGACATTTTTTTTAGCTGTTGGAGAAAGCAAAGTGTTTTATATAAGGACGAGTAGTTTGAAGATGTCCTAGTGGTGGCTTAGTGATTTTGTTTCTTCAGTAGTCTAGTAACATGTTACAATAGCCGATTGCAATGCAGAGCCATGAAAACATGGAATAAATAGTTTGTATGGGTTTTTTTCATCAAGCCTTTTGGGTTTATCATGTGGTAAACCGTTGTGATGCAGAGTGCTCCTGTTGTAAACACTTTTTTGTCATTCTGGAATTTTACTAAGGCCTTTTGGATGAATGGATGAAAAAATATTGGTTTGGGTCAATGCAAGTCTTTCCAAGTTCAGCAAATGACCTGATAAGCCTTGACTAAATTGTCAAGAAAGATTTTTCTTTGACATCTGTTGAGCTGTAGAACTTAATTTAAATCAAGGAAGGCTATTGACAGTTTATTAAATTTTTGTGTACATAACTTTCTGTCATTAAACAAAAATTTTACTGAAAAAGTAGACCCATTTTCTCATGAAACTGTAGGGAATAGTGCTATAAAATAGCTGAAAATTTTATTTCAGTACCTGGTATGCTTTTAGTCATACTGTTTTGCTCTCTCAGTTTTAGGTGAGTGGATCAAATCTATTCTACTACAGGATTTAGTCTCAGTAAGATCTTCATCCTGCTGAAAACCCACGTGAATCTTAGAACACTCTCATCAAAGACCTGTATGAAAGCCTGGTGTTATAGAACTCTGGAAATTGTTGGTAGTTGGGAACTGAACATAGTGGGACTAAAAGTTTCCCCGTGGAAACACTTTCAACATCTTGGACAGCCTTTCTTCTCTCTTGCCCTTGTTTCCCAGATGGATTGGAATTTATATGCCAAACTCAGTATCAGAAAGATCTTTTAGCATTCTTAGTCCCTTTGAAAGGATTGAAGCATTAAAACAGTTCTTTACTCATGGTGTATGCCAATGGTCTCCAAAACTTTGTTGTTGCACAGCCCAATTAGTGGAAAGTTTTTGAGTGCACCGTTTCCATGTATGTGTATTTATTCCTTTATCTATTATATATACAAACTACTCAAGCTCTAATATTTTTTTCTTTGTGTGCACTACCTGCTATGCAGACCATTGCTATAAAACTGCAGAATTTCTATGGTAGACAATAAGCAACTAGGCAGTTCAAGTTTTGATCTACAGTTGGTAGCTTTTATAGGGAGCTTTTTCTTTGGATTAGATTTATTGGTCAAAAGTTAGAACCACAGGCTGTGGTGATTTATGCAAAATGGAGGCTATATGTAATTTTTCAGTTTTCCACAATGTTTCTAGACTGCTTTCCCCTTTGTCATAAGATTTGTAACGTCAGAAAGGTGGGAATGCAATTGAGAGCAGACAGATGGATATGTTATTTCTTTCTATGAAATGGAAAGATACTGTGTAATGAGGAATATCTGTATTATGGTAAAGATGCAATATAGATATAATCTTGGTCTACAAGAACAAGATACAAACATCATTCATTTAATAGAAAGTACAGGTTTAGACCCAAATGCAGAGAAAATTCAGTTTTCTGATATAAAGCTTAATCTATGTCATTGTCAAGAACAATCAGAAGAGTACTGAGCTGATTGTGCAGGAGATGCTCTGGGATAAAATGAACATTACTGATGCTCTTTATAATTGTTGAGAAAAACTGCTGAACATGGTGAAACATGGTAAAACAACTGTACTGTGTAAGTCTATAATTCATTCTTCATTTTGTTTGGTAAATCCTGTGTTGAACGGGGTGCTCTGTTTCCTCAGGTAATGATTTTCTCCTAATACTAGGCAAGTGTTGGTAATGATTATAAATGTATTATCAAAGGCAATTTACCAAGTCTTTTTTAAAGAGTTGTGGAAATTAGAAGTAAATCTTATACACACACTGTAAGATTGCAGCTGTTTTCATTGGAGATACCCTAATTGCTTCTTATATATTTGGATTTCAGTAAAGCTTTTGATACTATCACTCACAGTATCCTTCTGGACAAAATGTCCCACACACAGCTGGATAGACACATCATGGATGGGTGAGCAACTGGCTCATGGGTCAGGCATGAAGGGTGATAGTGAATGGGTGAATAGTGAATATCAGACCGGCCACCTGTCACTAGTGGGGTTCCTCAGGGCTCCATCAGTGGCCCTGTGCTCTTCAACATCTTCATAAATGGCTTGGACTCAGGACTGGAAGGGACACTAAGCAAGTTTGTAGATGATGTAAAATTGTGAGAAGCTGTTGACTCCCTCCAAGACAGAGACCATGCAGAGAGACCTCAGTACATAAGAGAGATGGGCAATCACCAGCCACATGCAGTTTAACAAAGTGCCACATTCTGCACCTGGGATGGGGCAACCCTGGATATATGGACAGACTATATATGTATACTACAGATATATGGGGAATGAGATGCTGGAGAGCAGCACCTGGGAGGGTGGGACCTGGGAGTCCTGGCCAATGGCAAGTTGAACATGAATACAACACTGTGGGGGGCCAGCTGCGAGGTGAAGCCATATGAGGAGTGGCTGAGGTCACTTGGTCTGTTCAGTGTGGAGGAGACTGAGGGGAGAATTCACTGCAGTCTTCCTCTTAAGGGGAAGAGAAGAGGCAGGCACTGATCTCCTGTCTGGTGACCCATGGCAGGACCTGAGGGAATGACATGAAGTTGTTTCAGGAGAAGTTTACACTGGATATCACTTCACCAGAGGGTGTTTGGGCACTCCATGTTCCTCAGGGAAGTGGTCACAGCACCAAGCCTGACAGAGCTGAAGCAGCATTTGGACAACATTCCTGGACACATGGAGTGACTCTTAGGGTGCTCTGTGCAGGGTCAGGAGTTGGACTTGGATGATCCTAGTGGAATCCAACTCAGAATATTGTCTGATTCACTTTGTGTTCATTCTGTTATCCAGCTTGTTCAGGATAAGACAGAGACAATTACTGTAAACATTTTGTGTAAATCTATGAAAACCTAAGTAATATAACTATGTAATTTGAAAGACAAATGGATATTGGCAGCCTGCCTGAGAAAATGTTGCCTTGTAAGTTTAGTATTCTTTTGTAATTGCAAGATAGATTTTCTGTTTTATTTTAGAACAAAGCTTGCAGTTACAAGGACAAAAATGCTAAAAATACTTTGTCTTTTGACTAATACTGTGTTTCTGATAGTCTTTCTGACTGTTTTTATATGTCTCTAATGATCAAAGTAGTAAATAGAAATATAAGTAATATAAAAAAGAAAAACACTAATTTTACTTTAAACAATTTGTAAAAAAAGTCCTGAAAGCTGTCAGCGCTTACAAAAAAATAGTATTATAAATTTCATCTGTTGTGAATAAAATTAATGCAGAAATCCTCTGAGACTAATGTGTACAAACATCTGTGCAATATATTTTTATCACCTCTAAAATCACTTTTCTTGATTTCTAGTGAGATCAGACTTTTTTCCCCCCCACAAGTATTTAGAACAATGAGGACAGTACATCTGCACTGTGGAAAATCAATCAGGATTATGGGTGGATGTATTGCCTTGTTGGAGTGAGACACCTTATAAGCATATGGAGAAGGCAGGAAAATTCCTCTGGACTTGGTAGCTAGACTTCCCTTGGGTCTCTGCAGGATGCTCCACAGGGTCTCTCTTCATTATTGCTTTCTAATTAGATAGCATTTCCCTCAGGAGTTAGGCAGCTGCTGGAGATGATGGGCTGAAGAGCTCAAAAGAACTGCTGCCCTTAGAGCTTTTCTTAATTGCACCATTAGAGGCTACTGAGAATCTGATCTTTCCCAGGTTTCAACAGCTATGGTGAATAGGAATTGATGTCTTTGGTGGTACTGAAAGAGATTCTGGCTAGTAAGAATGGGTAATGAATTAAAATGCTTTTAAATTAATTTGATGAAGC